ATATATATATATACACACACACACACACACACACACACTGACCTGGAGAATTTCTCTTTTGTAATAATCCAGAACCTTTTGTTTGAGTCCACTATTGCACACCGACTGGAGGCAAACAAGTCTTAACACCTTGATCAGTGAATGCTTCTGGGCAATACAGTCCTCAATGTAACCATTGACCTGGAAACAAAGCACAGACAGACCTATACCATCACCTGGTTTGGGGACCTCAAGAACTTTATACTATTATTTTTAAAAATCAAATAAAGGATATATGTGGAAGAATGACCCCCTCCCCAATCCCCCATTCCCTAAGCCCCCTCCAGCCCCTGGCACACACACCCCAGTCACCAGGAGCATAAGGCCAGTGAGGACACATTCAACAATCTAGATGCCTGTCTGGGCTCATCTGTCTCTATGGGCAATGTCCTGAGAGGCATGTGTGACTTAGTCTATCCCAGTAAAGTGGCAATTTATCAGTAACAGGAATGTTTTTAGAAGATGTAAGTTTTCATAAAATGAATCATTTTAAATTTACTAAAGAGGTGACTACGTAAAGAAATATATGACCAATTCTCTCTGCAAGCAAGTATCTCAATTTGCCTATTATAGCCCTTAAAGCTCTGATTTGGGGCCTGGGCCTCACCTCTCCGTGCATCGCAGGAAGTGCTCTCCACAGAGTGATGTGAAATACCTGTTACTGATAAAATCTGTATTTTCGCGCTTTTTTTTAGTATATTTTATTGATTTTTTACAGAGAGGAGGGGAGAGGGATAGAGAGCTAGAAACATCAATGAGAGAGAAACATCAATTAGCTGCCTCCTGCACTCCCCCTACTGGGGATGTGCCTGCAACCAAGGTACATGCCCTTGACCGGAATCAAACTTGGGACCTTTCAGTCTGCAGGCCAACGGTCTATCCACTGAGCCAAACTGGTTAGGGCTTCACATTTTGTATTTGCTCTTAAAAATACAATGGAGTCAAAGCCATTGCTTTTCTAGCTATGGCCTTATGTTTGATACAGTATCATTATTTGTTAGTTTAATTGTTCACGAACCTTATCGGTGTCTATTCCAGACATAAACTCCTGCTCCACTGTCAACTTATCAAAGAAGTCTTCAGAAGCTAAAATGTAATTAAGAGATTTGCAACTTAGAAATCAAATAAATGTCCTTTTGAGTGATATGCGTTTATGAACAGAGCATGATTAAGAAACAAGATATGCCAAAAAGCAAGCAGGCCATAGGCTGAAACAGGCTCCTGGCAAAAATCTTCTGAAAGCAAGGAAACCCTACGACCCTGCATCCCTAAGTTCCATCTAGATGGAGTGGACCCCCAACCCCTTTGCTATCCTCAAAACTCAAAAATGGTGCCTCAGAATCAGTGAAAGCTAATTTCCCCAGAGCATTGCATCATCAGATTCAACCGAGTTTCACCCAATTTCTATCCAACACTGTGCTGTATCTAAGATTCAAAGTGTACTTCATAATACAGGGCACTGACCAATCTCCTAGGCAGCTTTTACAGCCTGAGTTTTAAAGAGTAAGCTTGTCTTTAGTTTAATATACACCCTCTGAGCTCTTTCAAAACACTCACTGTATGCTGTAGACCAATTCTGTGGAAAGTTTTCAAGGGAAAAACAAAAACAGAAACAGAAACATCCCATTGCTCTAATTAAATAATCCTTAATAACAGAAGAAGAAGAAAAACTGGAGTAAAAAAATTAACTGCCTCATATTATGGTGGCAAACTTATGCAAAACTTTTGCTCCCTCTTATTGGCATCCCAAAAAGTTTACCAGATGATTACATTATTTTAATAATCAAAAGAAACGTGCTCACCACGAATGGTGCACTTTTAACTGTGAACATGTGTTCGCTTAATTAACCCTGAGAATCATGCTGGTGCCCATGGCCACCCGGCAGACACTGGGTAGGTCTGTGAGGCAGCCCAGGCGAACCTCATCCCTGGATACTCACTAGTGACATCTTTGATCAGCTCTGCGATTGAGGTGTGGTTCGCCAGTGAGCCTCTGGCGGCCTGCATGTGGGGCAGCTGGGAGACGAACTGCTTGATCTCCCCCACCGTCTTGGCGTTGTGCCTCTCCTGAAATGGGCAGAACCACCGAGAAAGGAAGATACTCACTGTCAGGAGCTCTGTTCTTTGTTTTGTTTAGTTTAATGTGGCAAAAAGAATGGGATACAATTGAATCGGGCCAAACCCAGCTACAACATCACATGGAAAACCAGAAAAGGTCCGTTCACCGTGCCTGTTCACGGTGCTAGTGCTTCTGTACCAAGCAAATGTCTGTGTTTTCTCTTCCTAGGTGCCAGTTCATGCTGGGAACAGTATTTTGTGGGCATCTGGGTATATGTGGGGGGACAGTATTGGGTAAACCATAGACATTTTGCAGTAACACACTAAAAGCACTATGTTAAGAGGAGAACATAAACAGCAAGTTCCTTCTATAATGGGAAGGAAAGAGCCATCCTTCTCACTGAGCCTTACTAGTAATTTTGAATAATGTCCTTGAACAAAGTGAACCTCGCTTAGTGATGAGAAAATATTTTTTTGTCAAATTGACTCATTTAAAGCAAAAGTACCATCAGAAACATAAAAATCAATTAAATGGATGTAATTCCTAAGAAAGATGAAATCTGGAAATACATCCTCAGTGGAAAATTAGCTTTCAAAAGTTCTCCAAATTCATGTCTCTAAAGCCTAAGTATTCCATCTACATCACACTGATTGTCACGGTTCAAAATCAACCTGAACCCAGAATGAAGCAGGGACCAGGCAGGAGCCGACAGGAAGCTGATAATGAAGCTGCCAATTTCAAAGCTCCCGCCGCTGGGGATTTCACTCATTATCACCCACCACGACTGCAGGGGCCTCTGCCACCAGCATGTTGGTCAACCTGGGGAGTTTTCACCCCAAATTGCAAGTTCTATTACAGAGGATCTTTTATTTATAGTACAGCTGGCTTCTTCTTAAGTGGGGTAGGAAATAATAAAAAAGGAGGGAAAACAAGTATTTATGGCAAAAGCTTATAAACTGCAAACACTGCCTGCCCCTCCCAAAAAAGGGGGAAAAAACTTAACAGAATACCTTTCTCCTAGAGGAGAAGTTAAAAGGGCGGTCTGGCCTGTGACAAGAGCAGCAGGTGACAACCACACCAGCTCACCTCAAACGCAGCCGAGATCACCTTGGCTTTCTTGCTGAGCACGGAGCCCACGGCATTGAAGTTCTTGTCTCGGATCTCGGCGTACAGCTCCTCCGCAGAGTTCAGCTGAAGCTTCTTGGCTTCCGTGGGAAGATCCTTACCGCCATCGCCCTGTTTCTTGGGCGCGAATTTCTCCGGAGGCAACTTCACGTAACCTGGACAGCACGGACGGGAACAAGCGCCTGTGTGCACTTCCTGGGAGAACCTCACAGCCCAGGCACAGAGCAGGATTTTCCCATCAGGACACATAAGCCGCCTTTACCGAAAAATGGTGCACAGCACTGAGGTTTTGACTTTTCCATGATCAAAGCAGGCTCGGATCATAAGTAAATCAGTCAGGATTATTATCAAGACTTCCTCCAATTTTAAATGCTGACAGAAACAAGCATCATGTGGGCGGAAAACAAGCACGCTGGTGACCTTTGACCTAAGATTCTGTCAAGCCTAAACTCTTGCAGGCCTTCCGTCTTCCCTCCAGTGTCTTCAACCGCCCATATCAGCCTTTCCCCTAGAGCAGTGGTTCTCAACCTGTGGGTCGCGACCCCTTTGGGGGTCGAACGACCCTTTCACAGGGGTTGCCTAAGACCATCGGAAAACACATATATAATTACATATTGTTTTTGTGATTAATCACTATGCTTTAATTATGTTCAATTTGTAACAATGAAAATACATCCTGCATATCAGATATTTACATGACAATTCATAACAGTAGCAAAATTACAGTTATGAAGTAGCAACGAAAATAATTTTATGGTTGGGGGTCACCACAACATGAGGAACTGTATTAAAGGGTCGCGGCATTAGGAAGGTGGAGAACTACTGCCCTAGAGTGACGTTCCCAGCTACATTCTCTGCTTTAGCAAGCTGGTCGCCTGTCATTCCCTGCTTTGATGATGCTGCCTGCCCCTCACCAGCACCACCCTCGACACTCTCTCCCTCTTTCCAAACCCACCCCAGGCCACCTCTCCCAGCTTCCCGAACGGCTGCAGTGCCGCCTGATTTAACCCCAGGCCTCTGCTCACAGGGCACAAGCACAGTCCTCACACTACACATTGGTTAGTCCGTTCACTTGGACACTGTTTACCTCTAGTGTCTAAAAGTCAAAAGCAGTATTTTTATATTTTCAAATATTCTGAGTTATATGCAAAGAAAGCACCTTCAAAAAACTGACCTATCAGTAAAAATAGATGGCACTTTACTTACTGTTCTGAATACCATAAATTTCATCAATGAGTCCTTCATATGTAAGCTGAGTGGCAAGGGGTGTTAACAAGTCCACATTTCGATCGAGCAGTAAGAGATTATCAAAAACAGGAAATACGGAATTCTGGCTTCCTGTGAACTCTCTCTTCATCCTGATCATCATATTGGCCACTTGCTGGAAATAAAATATTGGATCAGGTGGAACCCTCCTGAGAATGAGCCGATTTTAAAATTGGCTAAAAACTGAAAGACAATCAGAAAAGTAAAAAAAGAGAAAAACTGTGGAATGGTGCGATAGATAAGAAATTAGCAGCTACAGAAAGCATTTACTGCTGGCCACCCGTCCCAACATTCACACTGTGGCCAATGGCAACCGCTATTTCTCAATGGGGCACAAAATCAGGGACAGTCTATCTGTGTTACTCCTGGTAACTGTGTTCTATAAAGTCATGTGAACAGGGATTAGCGAGCACTGAGCCACGGCTCCTGGCGGAAACGGGGTGAGGTTCCTGCGGGCTCTGGTCACATTTCCATCAACTGGTCAACATGTAACCTTGTTTAATGTGTTGCTGTTTAAAGACACTTTAAGATATATTGTTGAGCCTGACCTGCATGGCTCAGTGGTTGAGCATCGACCTATAAAGCAGGAGGTCATGGTTCGATTCCCAGTCAGGGCATATGCCCAGTTGCGGGCTTGATCCCCAGTGTGGGGCTTGCAGGAGGCAGCCGATCAATGATTCTCTTTCATCATTGATGTTTCTCTCTCTTTCTCCCTCTCCCTTCCTCTCTGACATCAATAAAAACATATTTTTTAAAAAAGACATATTGTTGATTCACTGACAGTGAGCTCACAGCCCAAGGCCCCCTCACTCACACCTGAATGAAGCCCAACGTGTTTCCTCAGGAGGCTTACCACAACCTTTCTGTGCTCGGACACCAGACAACCTTTCACTACGCGCACGGACCCTTTAACAGCAAATCACCAACAAGAAGCACAAAGATGCACAGAGTGTGGCGTTAAGCAGCGTGTGGGCCCGCGTAGTGGCAGAAAGGGCACTATGGGCAGTAGGAGCTGAAACAAGAGGGCAGAGCAGCACTTTGTTCGACCTCAGCTGCCAACGTGCCCACTGGGCAACTCAAATTGTTTGCTGCTTTGGGCAAGTCTACAGAATGCGGAATGTCACTCTGGGGGTTATGAGTAAGTAGGCGAGTTCCCAAATAAAAGGATTAGTGGGACTTGTTTATAAATGGCTTCCCACTCCTTCCCCCTTCTTGGGTTCGAGGGGCCCTTCCTTCACCACCAGAAACACGGCCGTTTCTCACCCGGGCGCACTCTCCTTTCCCGAAGATCTGGGGGATGGTCCCGTACAGAGCCTGCAGGGTCATCAGCCCCTTGGCCGCATGGTAGAGGCTGGTCTGGTCGCTCTCCAGGTAGCACTCCTGCGGGGAGAAATGGAAGGTCACTGTCAGGCCACGATCACCTGGGTGCCCACCCCTGTCAGGCACTGGGATTCCACTTTGCCAGGGAAACAGGAGATGGGACCCAAGTCCCTTTTACAAAGCTGCTGTTCAGCACTCTAGGCCAGTGGTCAGTAAACTGCGGCTCGTGAGCCACATGCGGCTCTTTGGCCCCTTGAGTGTGGCTCTTCCACAAAATACCACATGCGGGCGCGCACGGAGAGTGAGATTGAAACTTCGTGGCCCATGAGCAGAAGTCAGTATTTTGTGGAAGAGCCACACTCAAGGAGCCAAAGAGCCGCATGTGGCTCGCAAGTCGCAGTTTGCTGACCACTGCTCTAGGCCACAGAGCCAACAGCTCAGCTCTCAGGGTACAGCTGTGGAAGCAATTCTCCGGGGGGCGGAACCTTCTGCAAGAAAAGGTTTCACCAGGCATGCCAGCTCTGTTTGTCAGCTCATGAGTAAATTACTGATTAATAAAAGCTTACACGGGTTCTCCCATTCACCAGGGTGAATATAAACTGGGGTAGGCCGAAACCGGTTTGGCTCAGTGGATAGAGCGTCGGCCTGCGGACTGAAGGGTCCCAGGTTCGATTCCGGTCAAGGGCATGTGCCTGGGTTGCGGGCACATCCCCAGTGGGAGTTGTGCAAGAGGCAGCTGATCGATGTTTCTCTCTCATCGATGTTTCTAACTCTCTATCTCTCTCTCCCTTTCTCTCTGTAAAAAAAATCAATAAAATATATTTTAAAAAAAAAACTGGGGTAGGACATTCTGGGAGGGCCACATGCTAGTACTCACAAATGTGAGCGTTCTTTGACCCCCAAAGTCCCCAAAGATGACCACACAACAGAATACTTTGCAGTTTTACAAACATGAGGCAGCTTTTCACATGTACCGACAACAAATAACGGCCGTAAACATTGTGAGCATTAAACTGGGCAGAACTGGAATCCCCACGTTTTGTACAGTAGAATGATGGAGATGATCATCGGCCTGCAAGCATGGCAAGCTGCAGAGCGCCTCCTTATGCTGAGAAATGCTGAATTATGCTTGCAGTTTAACAGTCACATAAGTAGCCCAGCCAGGGTGGCTCAGCAGTTGAGCACTGCCTCATGAACCAAGAATTCACCAGTTTGATTCCCGGTCAAGGAATATGCCCAGCCTGCAGGCTTGATCCCCAATAGGGGGCGTGCAGGAGGCAGCTGATGGATGTTTCTCTCTCATCGATGTTTCTATCTCTCTAACCCTCTCCCTTCCTCTCTCTAAAAATCAATACAAACATATTTTAAAAAATCACATAAGTAAGTAAAACACATCTTCATCAGAAATCAGGATTGAATTTAACATTAGGTAGAACTCTTAGCTTTACCATCCAGGCAAAATGCTTGTTTTCTTAACTGAATCCTTAAGTGAACACACAAAGCCCAGGGCTCAAAGTTCTCAGCAGTAAATAATTCTGCCCTTCTTTGCAAATCCCTGATTAAATAAACAGGAGCTCGTGCCTCTGGGCAGGTTTTGTCATGCCAAGACACGTTTCCTAGCTGCTGCCAATTCGCATTAATTACACGTGTGAATTAATTATGAGCATACCGTTATAGATAAATGGCAAAGCAAATACGGCAAAATGTTAATTCCAGAATCTAGGTCAGTGGTTCTCAAACTTTTGGCCCTTAAAATACAGTTCCTCATGCTGTGGCTCAACCATAAAATTATTTTCGTTGCTACTTCATAACTGTAATGTTGCTACTGTTATGAATCGTAATGTAAATATCTGATATGCAGGATGGTCTTAGGCAACCCCTGTGAAAGGGTCGCTTGAACGCCAAAGGGGTCGTGACCCACAGGTTGAGAGCCGCTGATCTAGGTGATGGGTATGTGGGCACTCCCTCTATAATTCTTTCAACTTTTCTCTATGTCTGAAATTTGGAGAAAGAAAAAAAAAAAAGAGTCCAGCTCTGGACAGTATGGCTCAGTTGGATGAGTGTCATCAGATGCGCTGTAAAGTTGCTGGTCCAATTTGAGGTCAGAGCATATACCCAGGTTGTGGGCTTGATCCCAGGTCAGGGTATGTACAGGAGGCAACCAATCGATGTCCCTCTCTCACATCGACGTTTCTTTCTCTTTCTCTTCCTCTCTCTCTAAAATCAATAAAAACACTTTTTTTAAATGTAACTATTTTTTCACTGGAAATGTCTACCTGGTAAAAAGGTATTATAATTAAAGTTAAAAGCCAAGCCTCACACTGGGAGAAGATACTAGCAGCTTTTATAACCCAATTTGCCATTTGCTAAAAGGAAAAATCTTAAACATTAATATACCTATGGAAAAGCTCAGCTTCCAGTAACCAAGGAAATGAAAGTTAAACAATAGCCTGGACACTGTCATCCTCGTAAATCTGGCAAAAGTGTAAGTCTGACACTAAGAAAGAAAATACCAAACGTACTTTGAAGGCTCCCTCTGACTCCATGGATAAGAGATCCCCATCGAAGGGAATGAGATCCAAGCTATACTCCTCCCTGTGAATAAAGGAGCCCAAAACACCCAGATCCTTCAGCCGCTGTTCACACAATAGGCTGCGTCGTGGCACAAACAAAATGTGGAAATCTCTTGCTGGGCCACGTCTGTCTTCACTGCAAAAGAGGTAACGTTTGTTAGTTTATGAGCTCTTTGAAGTCACAAACTATTTTATTTATATTATTCCCAGAGCCTGGTCCTATGTCTGGTACACAGCAGGCACTAAATAAAGGTTGGCTAGATAAATATACCAATATTGACTTTCAGGCCCAAATTGTTACCGTTGCTCTTTTTTATTTTCCCCTGAAAGGAAAGCAGCATTGATTCATTGCCACACAACTTTGTGATGCATTTTCTAGCATCCTCTCAAACTATTTATGGGGCATTAAAGCTTTTAGGTTTATTGAAACAGGATATGTGTGTCTTCCTGAAAACAAATGGCTCTTTAAACCAAACCAATGCAGATACAGGGTCTTACATTAAAATGAAAGATCATTCTTGACTGCCCTCTGCACTCTCCTTCACAGTGAACTTCCCAAAATAGCCCATTTGCTTTTAAGGTTTTAGGGGCCACACCAATCAATTGTACCAGAGTGCAGACTGGGCTGGGACAACTTCCTCTATAAAGAGATGTTGTATTAAATTTTAATCAGCTCTTACTTATTCTGCTTATGAGATTCAGGAACATTATATTTAGTATACTGAAAAACAACCATTAGAGGTTTTTCTTTTGTTCTTTTTAATTAGGGTCCCTTATACTAATGCAGGTCCAAATATTTAGCTGTCCTATAAAAGAATGGGGTTATGCGATGACACCCTGCCCCCAAAACTGTTTGAACAACTTCACGTGTCCCATCCCCCCCCATCCTTTCATGCCTGTCCCCGTTTTCAAAAGATCACCTTCCAATGCACAGGCAAGAGAGTGGGGTTGCAATGAGGAGCTCAGGACATTAAGACCACCTGGAGGACCGACCTCTTTTGGATCAAACACAAGCTCTGAGAAATACCTGAGCACATTTTCAGCAATTATATCCATCAATTCTAGCCTGGGTCTGACAAAAAAAATAATATTTTTGACATCGGCTGCAGGCAAACGACTTCCTTTAAGGGTGAACATTTTTTCCACTTCATGTTCCTAGGAAAACACACAAAAGTTTAACAAAAACTTGTCTTTACCTGTCATATCCAGACTCAGACATCCTACCCTCATAGCCAAATGCTCTTAGTACTTAATTATCCAAATTTAGATTCCCCAAAGCCAGATGTATAAAGCACCAAGTTTCAGGATGAAGTCACTGTTATTGTATCTGAATTCAAATGACTCTCACATGATTACCTGTCAGAGACACCAGGTAATGGTCATATAATACAATGCTAGTAAATTCCCTAGAATTAGAATCAGTTTAGCATCTCAGGCCAAAGGATCACTGTATACAAAATGTTAACCAAGAATTAGTATCTGTGTTTACAAAGACCAAACAGCTTTATAAGCTAATTGTTCAGGAGAAAATGTGAAATTCCATTCTTATTTCAAAAATGCGTAATTATTAATCCCTCAACAAAGCCAGAATAGCTCACTTACCTTCAGTAGTGAATACTGTGCAATCAGGCCAAATGGTCCTGTGAGGTACTCATCCCAAACTATTGCCTATAAGAGGAAGAAACATTCTCTTATTACGGTTACTATCAGGAATGTCAACAATATCAACAGAAAATAGCAGTCATACATAGTAGGACTCTCTGCTTCAAACTCTGAATTAAAAAAAAATTTAAGTATTTTTATTGATTTCAGAGAGGATAGGAGAGGGAGAGAGACAGAAGCATCAATGATGAGAATCATTGATGGATGGCCTCCTGCACACCCCCTACTGGGGATGGAGCCCACAATCCAGGCATAATATACCCTTGACCAGAATCGAACCCAGGACCCTTCAGTCCACAGGCCAATGCTCTATCCACTGAGCCAAAATTTCAACAGACTCTGATCACATTCATAACCTGCAGGTCTAAAGAAAAACAGCAAAGGCAAGGGATGGTACTAGTGGTCACAGGAAAGTTAAGACTCCATCACTGTCCTCAACAGAAAGGAGCTGCAGTGTGCTGTGTACCTGTGTCATGCTATTGCTGGATTAAACCATATGAAAACTGCCAGTGGCAACAGTTCAACCTAGTATTTTATATATAAGTATCATAATCCAATTAGATAAAAATTAAAACCTTCGATGTAGGTATTACAAATCTTATTTTGACAGAAGGAGAGTTGAAAAGGCTCAGAAAATTTAAGTAACATGTTCAAGGCCACAGAGTGACCTTGCATCCTATATTATAAAGAGCTAATATGGTAATTAGACCGGATGGTGGAATGATCTTTCAGAAGGATGAGTGGCCGAGGAGTGCCGGCCAGGGGGTCCAGCAAGGGGGGTCCCCAGGGCCAGGAGGGCCAAGCCCCCTGCACGAATGCGCACCGGGTCTCACAGTGGTCGGCAAACTCATTAGTCAGCAGAGCCAAATATCAACAGTACAACAATTGACATTTCTTTTGAGAGCCAAATTTTTTAAACTTAAACTACATAGGTAGGTACATTGTTATTAACTTCATTAGGGTACTCCTAAGGCTTAGGAAGAGCCACACTCAAGGGGCCAAAGAGCCGCATGTGGCTCGCGAGCCGCAGTTTGCCGACCATGGCTCTAGTGCAACATAAGGGAGTCAGGACTTCACCTTAGGCCTTCACGGCCCCACAGGTCATTGCTCTGTGGCCCTGGGAGCATTTCTACTGCTGAACTCGAGGATCGTTTCTTTTCCTTGTAACTGACGCTTTTATTGAGACAA